CGTGCGTGCGTGCGTGCGTGTGTATAAATAAATAAATAAATAAATAAATATATATTGAGAGAGAGAGAGAGAGAGAGGTGGGGAGAGAGGCAGAAATACACAGCGAGAGAAGGGGATGAGAGAGAGAGAGGCAGGCGAGCGTTGACTATAATCTGCTATGCAAATGCTCGCGCCTAGTAATTATACTCCACGAGACACGAATATTTTAATCTAGTCTTCATTGCTATTCATGAAGTCGGCAATAACCTAATTATCCTCAGCTTCTCTCTTCCTCTCCTCATCCTCATCCTCATCCATACCCTCCTCCTCCGTGTACAATGCCGACCCTGATTAAATAAGACCAAGCACTTATGCCCAAAAACTCGGAATATATTAATTTCACTGCGGAATTAATTGATCCATCCCACACACGCAGTTACGCATGCACGCACACATGTACCCACACACGCACGCACACACACAAACCGACAAACCGAAAAACAGACAAAAAAACGCTCATTCCCACTGAACAGAACTAGTAGCTGTTGTTGTCCATACGAAAAAAACTCAAGAGCGTGCATCAATGATAGTTTGTTGCGTGTTTTGCTCTCTCGTCGTCTGCCGCCGCCGCCGTGACGTGGCAGGAAGGCAGGCACTGAGGCAGCCTGAATCGGTTCGACGACGTATCAACCACCATAACGACACTTGAGAGATGCGCAGCAGCGATAGCAGCGCTCCCGCGGGAGATTTCCGAACTAGGCGGCGCGTGATCTACGAGCAAGCTACGATGACAAGCTATGCCTACGGGCAGCTGTGTGCACGCGGCTGGTGCGCATACACGCACGCACGCACGCATGCACACACGCACGCACATACGTACGCACGCACACGCAGGCACGCACGCACACGCAGGCACGCACGCACACGCATGCACGCACTCTCACACACACACACGCACGCACGCACGCACGCACATTTACGCACACACAAACACAGACGCACGCACTCGCGCACGTACTCCCACGTACAGCCGCCCCTCTTCACCGCTCCTTGGTACCCTGCTTGACCCGGCTGTAGATGATCCGCTGTCGCCAAGTGTGGGCACCGCCGGCGCCACACAGATCTCCCGCCTCCCCGCCTCCCCCTCTCCCTCCCCTCTCTCCCACACTCACAGGACAGCAGCTATGTAAGAGAAGCGGGTGAGTATCAGCTGCTAATCCTGACTTAAGCGGCTGCACAAACAAACACGGTTACCCCGACTGTGCGTGCGACGTAAACGCAGAGAGTGCGTGTATGCACGCATCACAGCGAAATGCAAGCGAGCGACCTCCCTCTCCATCTTCCCCTCTATTTATCTCTCTCTTGCTCTCTCTCTCTCTCTCTCTCTCTCTCTCTCTCTCTCTCTCTCTCTCTCTCTC